AAATAAATATTCTTCAAAATGATAAAAAAATGTAAAGGCTGAGAATGATACGAACCGTTTAATGCAAAAGTGGTGTGAGTCAATTTTTTGCCTTTTTCAGTTAACACCATATCTCGAAAGCTTAACCTTGCTTCTGTTTTGTGCAGAAGTGGTGTAAGGATGTCTTTATTAGTTTCTCGGTGGATGGCAAAGTAAGTAAGAACCACCCACTCGAATGGCATGGACGCTATATGCAAGAATGGTGCAAGTCAGTCTTTGGTGTGAGATAAATGACATTGGACTTTTGGATTTCGAAGAAGAAGTGAGCGATGAATAAGAGCTTAACGTTATCGCTGTTCACAAAGTTTCTGTGTCATGCTCATTATTATTTTTCGATTTAAATCTAGGACAATGTAAACCACATTTTATATATTTTATATATTTTTTCTAAATAATTTGTTTGGTAATTAATAAAGCAAAAGAAGCATAATGTCTACCTCGACAAACAGATCCCTTTTTTATTACATCTAATAATAATTACCTTCCCGGGTTGCACGAAAATGGTGTTAGTTAGAAGAATATTGAATAAAATGATTACACATATATCCTACACTTGATTTTCGGGGCAAAATGGCATTATTAGCTTAAGGTATAACTATACAATACAAAATGATTATAACTGTGTTTTAACATTCGCAGAGATTTACAGAGATTTAACATTTTTTCATATTCCTGAATTTTACAGAACTTTTACTTTATCCCTCATTATCTAGAAATCGTTAAAAACTTTATCAACATTTATCTCGAAAATTATTTGTTTGCGGCATATGGCTCCTTTCAGACTTTTTCTCTTCTCGTTGAGCAGAATACGTGAATGTAAAAAAAAAATTTTACATTAATTTTCAATGTAAACAATTTTGCGGAAACTTTTTTTACAAATGTCCACTGATCCAAGGGTGTAGATTCACCCCCTGAAGCCGTGACCATTAATTTTTTTACACCCTGTACATGTCACGTTGTTTTATGTCACTTATTGTACTAAGTTTACAGTTCGTAAAATTATAGGATTAATGTAATTTAATTACACAGGTATTAATTATTTAATTATTTTATCTTCAAAATTTGCTTCCACAATCCATGTTTCTTGTGGTGACTTCCAGATTTTTAGCCAAGGAATATGATTCTCTTTTTCTGTTTCTTCGGAGAGACACAACATTTCTACGTCCTATATTTTCCTTTTAATACATGAAATTGTTAATGAGAAAATCGGTTGGAAAATTTATTTACTTATTGTTAATTATGTTCGCAAGATCCGACAGAATTGCAGAATATGTCGTAAGTTGAGGAAATTTCAGGTAAGTAGGTCGTTTATCAGTACGTCCCGTGAAAAACGCGACTCAGGTATTTGTTATCTGCTACATATGTACATATAAGCTTAGTCATTCTGAATACATGTTCTTTAACGTATTAGTAATACGTAAGTAAGTATTCATAAATTTTCCTTAACTATTCTCTTCACTATACTTTACAGTTTTAAAATAAATAAAACATTTGCTTAGATTGCAAAATTTACTTCCATATTTGCTATAAAATACGTATGCAAAAGACCGATATTACATATGTTTAAGACAATTTACAATCATATAAACTTAAGTATATTATAGATTTACTTGTATTAGATTACTTGAAACGAAGAAATTTGAATTGATTCAATAACAATTATGGTCAAAATAGCGAAAGTAACAATTTTTCTTTCTTTTGCAAAAATATTTAAAGAGAAAGAGAAACCAGTACAGCTTCTGAAAATTTTGTAATACATATTATGACAGAGTTATCATAGTTAAAACCTAGTTCTTTTAAATAATATTTTCTTGCTTTATGTGCTGGTAAAGTAAATCGTAAACGCTTAACTTATTGTTAGTTAAAGAAGTTAATGATACATTTATCGAGATTCAATGTGGTTACAATATATGTAGTTCATTAGGTTAGTATTACCAAGATATCGCGTTTTATTTGTTTTGTATTTTTATAATAATCTTTTAGTGATGTTTATGGTAGGCACTACATCAGTAATAGTGATTAAATAGACTTTGCGTTTTCCAATTCTTTTTCGTAAGGAAAACTTTTATATTTCTGTAATACTCATTTGCCTACCAAACGTGGTAAAAACTATTTTCTGACTGAAGTCATATATTTATCCCTTTTTTTTTTAAATTTTCTAATATTAA